TATTATTAAACAATATATTATTCTATTTTTATATATTATTAAAAATATATTATTTTATTTTTATATATTATTGAAAAAACATTTATATATAATTTATTAAAAGTATATATTTTTAAAAAAAGTCTTTTATTTATTTTTATAATAAAAAATGATAATGTCATTCCATTCCGGTCCTATTCCTTCTGCATTCCAAATGCATCAATGACAAAGCATGTTTCATTCCATCCCCATAATCATTCCATTCTTCAATTCATTCAATTCCTACGAAATTCCATTCAATCATACCAATCATGCCATAAGTATTATTTTCGTGTTCTTTAAATGAAAGTCTTATTTTGAAGAGATAATAAGGGGTATACAAATATATTCAGTCAAAATGAGTTTTTTGGTTAACCAGACTTAATTTTGAAAAAAATTGTATAGTTAGTTGTTAGGGCACCCGCAACGTTATTTGGGCGTTTAAACGCCAGCATAGCGTTCAACCTGGTTGTGGCATCCATCAATATATTGGGCTAACTATAAAGTTCAAAGGGGTTAACGTTCAGCCCTTACTTTTTATTTTTTAATTTTTGATTTTTTTAAATTAATTATTTAATTATATTATTATTCTTTTATGTATTAATTCATTTTTTTATCTCTATCACACTTCTCAATATTGATAAATTCAAATTTTATCTATATCACACATTTCAATATGTATCAATAATTTACATTTTTTATCCTCCATTCTTTGCCTATAAATACACCTCATTTTTACACTTCTCTTGCACCAAAAAATTTAGCAACTGTTCATTTGCGTTAAAAAATGGATCCGAATAATAGAAAAAAAATTTATAATGTCTCTAGTTCTAATCCTAGCAATCCAGATGAAATTTCATTTTTCCAAAATTCACAAACTTCACCAAAATTATATTCGTAGAAGTACAGAGATACGAGATAACACAATGCATCATCAATCTCGTGCCGATTTAGTTGACCATATTTGGACTCATTTTGCCACCAACTAAACAAGTTATCTTTTTTATTGTACTATCTTTTTCTTGTGTAATCTTAATTTAAGTTATTTTGGTCTTGTAGTGTTCCTTTATTTTCATGCATTTAACATTTAATATTACAATTTAAAAATATTAAGTTTTTATTTTTATTGAGAATAGAATATTAAAATTTATATTGAGTGAGTGAATAATGGGTCCAATTTATGTATTTCAATGAATGGATAGGAATGTGAGTATGTGTTTAAATGGAGACAGATTTGGTGGAAAGATGATGTGGAGATAATGTAGATGAGAGAGAGTGTTAATTTTTTATTGAATGAACGTGAATTGTGTATTAGGGTTGTGAATGCCCTTAGTGAAATTTTGATTTTATATTAAAATAATATTTAAAATTAAATAATTAAAGTTGATTTGATATAAAAGTATGAGATAGATGATATGAAGTGACATTTACTTAAAATTGTGTGAGTTGATGAATAGTAAATTAAAGTTGATGTAACGTGTAAGAATGATCAGTGGGTATTATTTAACTATATCGATAATATTGAGGATAGTGGGTTGAATTAAAGGTGGGTTAGATTTTGAGTATAAATTGAATATAGATTGAGATATTTGATATACAATCTTGTCAGTCTCAGAAGAGACGAGATTGATTGAGTTTCGTTAAGATCCAAATTTATCATTTTTATTGTTGTTCTACTTCTTGTGCAATGTCAGCTCACCTCTCTAGGTTACTTTGAACATTAATAAATTTCACTGTTGGAAAATCAAGTATGAAAAACTTGATTTGACCCGTTTTAACTGATTTTTTATGGTCATGTATTTATTTCAGATTGAGTTAAATTGTGTAGAAAAATTCTTCGTTTTGAGTGAATACTCGTGGTATATTTGTTTCTCAAAATTTATGTTAAATGAGTAAGAAATAAATCATTAAAGTTAGTCATTAATAGTATATAGAACGGTGGTACTGGGATTCGAAGGGTCAAGAGTCACATCCCATATTAGACTCTTAAATGAAATTAACTGTTTTTTATTATAATAAAAAGAGTTGTAGAGGTCATAACAACAACAGAACTATACACCAAATGTTGGTGATAGCTTCGGCCACTCGCACGCGCACGTCCGCCCGCCTGCCGGCTCGACATGTGCACGGGCCTGGGACTTGGGACTTGAGCGCCCTTGGACATCTTGGGCCCCAACCCATGTGCCCTTCACTAGGTTTAATGGACTTGGACATGTGTGACCTTCCACTTGACCGTTTTCATGGTTATCGTGTGGAGTGAATATAGATGTCAAATTGAAACTCGTCAATAGATGATTAAAAATTTGAAACTCGTTAATATAGTTCTAGATCTACATGGACTATTGAGAAGCACCACCAAAATTCGGCATATAGGATTTATGAATAATTAGAAATTGACATACACGCGCAGGAAATCCTAACAAATAAAAAAATCAACAAATTTGGAAATGTATTTATAGTTTCACTTTATAAAATATTTTATATTTTAAAAGTCATAATAAAATGAATACATGATTAAGAGTTTAAATCTACATCTAGTATTCCGAAACATCTCAATTTGGCATTTAGAATTACAAAAAATATAAAATTGCTTCATTTCATATATGGAGGAATGTAATGGATTTTTTTCATTTAATTTATTTATTTTTTATTATTATTATTATTATTATTTTTTTTTTGGTACAATGAACCTTCCGGTTTCCGAATCCCCTAGGGGACCGACTAATCCGGAATCGAGCCGGGTAGGACCACAAGGGCGGCAAAGCTCTACCTCAAGAGTTTTAACACAGCTGCATTCCCAGGGCTCGAACATTATTATTATTATTAAAGTTTAATGTAATGTATTGGTTTCTCCAATAAGGGCTAAGTTTAACTTGAGCCTGGTTTCAATGAAAAATAGACTACGGCACGTTAGATCAATTTGTTGAGAAGTCTACATATATTCAAGTTGGTCCTAGCCCAAATTGCTAAAGGCTCAAGTTCAACTGGGCCAGCATTACTTGACTTTCAACAATATTTTGTCGAAGAATTATGAACTTTGCCTGACAACATCAAACTTGAATCTTGAGTTCATAAACAACCATGCCCATAATCTCTTAAGGTATCTTTTAACATTTTTTTTTTTTTTGAGGAAATTACACCATCCACTACATCTTAACATTTTTATTACATAATTATAACTCATATATATTTATTTGCAAATTAACTAAAACTATTATATTTATTTACAAACATACTAGATTATTGAAATATGGTAAAAGCAGATTTAGTGGGATCTATAATTATCACACGCTTTCTCTCTCTCTCCCTCTCTCTATTCGTCTTCTTCTTCTCTCTCCCTCTCATCTCCTTCTTCTACAATTTGCCCCAAATTTCAGAACCCTTCTTCTTCCTCATCGATCGATTTCGCTCAAAATCTCATAAAACCCTTCGCACTAATTAATTGATCGATCATCATCAGAATTTTAGAGAAAAGATTTTCTCAACCCTCTTCGTCGATCCACCATAGCCGCGCGACGTCTTCATTAGATTCTTGTCCGATCAACCATGGCCATAGCCGTGAAGCCGCGAGTTCCGACCGCCGTGCAGCAAGGGAGAACCAGGGGTCCCGAACAACAGCAACTCCTTCTCCCTCG